TCATCTGGTAAGAACGACAAACGAATCTCTTCATCATGTACTTTCATTCGAAATGAAGGTCCCCCTAAAATATAGAATGGTTTGGCTAATTATCTTTACTATTGCTCCTGCCACTTTTGCTCGAGTTCGTGTGTACGCGTGTGTGCGTTAACGTCTGTACACAATACCGGTCCCTGGACCTTCAACTCTGTTCTCCATGCACTCTCATGCAAAATGGAAGTATCTCTTACAACGTTATCTCAGGAGAGTCATCGAAACCCAGTTACTCTTCGTATCTGCTTCCTTAAATGCAACGAATAGGCCACTGAGTTGATGCATGATACAAGGCAGATTTACTTATGCCCTTCTACTATTGAGTCCATGGAACCGTCAGTAAAGTGTGCGTTTAAAGCTGGTGAAGAGGAAGAGAAGCCACCAACAAGACTCACGCTCTAAGGGATTGGATGAATGAAGTCAGCTCAAGTGCCGATTGTGGCGAATCTTCTGTCCCTCTAGAGCCAGGCATCGCATCCGATTGCCTCGCTGTAAGTTGGCATTTCTAAAACGAAATGAGGCATAAGCATTGATGGATATATTATCAAAAGAAGCCATGAACCGAAATTAAGGAAAGTAATTCAGCTCAAAAATTAAATTAACAAAATAGAAGACATGTCATTCGAAAAACCCTTTCTAGGCTTGCAAATGACCTAAAACGCATATTTATTCACTCTTTGCAGCCCCATTTTTCCCACCAGCATAACAACAATTGTCTCCGCTTAGTTGAGATCACGACCACATGTTAATGGGTGGCTGGTGAACAAGTAAACAGGGTAAGTTGAGGATGTGGGAGTCCCGGCAGTATATAGGGGAGAAATCGGTTTTTCGGATGTATGGGTGCTCATTAATCATTTGTCAATTTGAAGCCCAGTTTATATCTTCTTCAAGAAGCAGTCAAAAGAAAAAAGATCCTCTGGTGTTACTCATGGCTAATAGCTTTATCAGGTTTTACTTTTATTTTGTGTAGTGTGTGTGTGCGTGCAATCCTTAGATTTATTGTACATAGTTCATCAATTTTTTGGGATTTTTTAAAGAGCTTTCATCACTTCGGTATTTTTCTTTCGTTTATTGATCCTCCTTAGAGCGTTTTATAGCTGAGGCGGATGAGTCTAAACCTGTACCTTAATAAGGACGGTGTTGACGAAATAGTGTTCGAATACATTCACTTTCATCGTCATATTTTTCAGGCACACTAGCGAGCACTCAAACTAAGGAAGTAAATGCTGGATTTCCAAAATTCCCGGAAGGATTTCATGTTACATAACTTTCCATTAATTATGCAAGGTTGAATGGAGGAAAGTAACAAGTGAGCCTTACAAAAACCAAATGAAGAATTTCCTTGGGTTGTGGTTGTTGACATTAGCAGAGGAGATCATGATGAACCATCCTCGGACCTATGTGAGGATAACCTACGAATCCTGTTCACTCAAGCTTTCATATGCAATATAAGTTTTATTGACATGAATTTGCATTTGATGGTCGGTGTTAATCAGATGCAAACACAATTCAAGTCTGCAGGGAAGATGATAACAATCTTGTTTGACTTATCATTAGTGTCAGACAAGTATTTGAATTTACCCTTGCCCTTACACATGGGAAGAAAACTCAAGTAGAGGTGGTCACTGCCGATGGACGCAACACCGAGTATCCCATAGCGAAAAAATAAGATGGAGTTTAGGATAAATGCTGTAATTCCAGACTAGTGAAAAGGATATGCGTAGGCCCTTTTCCACCGCCTTGGGCGACTCACTATCTAGGATTCCTTTGCTAACCACTATACAGACAGCACCAGAAACTATATTTCTGCGGTAAGTCGCTAACTTGTCATTTTTTCTGATGGGCCATAAAGTCTCACATTTTGATACAAATTTTTTTTGCTAAATTATTCATCACTTCTATACAAGGAAATATTTGAGGATACATGAAATTAAAGGTAATGGAAGCGCACATTAGTGTTTCCAGAAGACAGAAGATAGGCTTGATACGTGCTCTCTGAAATGCTTTCGGCTCTTTTGCGATCTGGTGCTCCGATACTCATCAACTCGGTCGTCGAACTGGGCCGTTCTAGTCTGGCCATCTTCTGTTGGTCCGAGGCCCTAATTGATTGGACTGCGACGGCTCCTGTAGCAAATGCTGCTGCCTGATTACTGGTTACATGAGAATAAGTGGACGCCTGATTGAAAGGTTCAGAAGCAAACAATGGATCAAAAAGCTTCTCAATCTCAGTTGGCCTTCGTTGGACCCGGTTCTCGTTGCAATCGAAGGAGATTAGATCCATGGCTTCCGGCTTTAATGAGCTCAGCGTGCTCAGAATGAAATCTCTGTAGCCCCTAAACAATGCACAATCATACCTATATAGTAGGTAAAGATACTTTAGGAAAAAATAAATAAGCAAATAAACAGAAGAGCTCCTGAAAACGAAGAATAAGCTAACCCCCTCAAATCAGTAAATCTTTGTGACACTATCGAAGGGGTATAGAGCCTTAGCAAAATAAAAAAGATTAATAACACAGAAATCACGCTTGCAAGCCCAAATAAACGATATCTTCGATAGCCCTCTTATAAAATACAATTTCAATATCATTTTTAAGGGCTATTGGATGTGTTGTGGATAGCAGGGATTCAATATTTTTGTCAAGGTTTGAGCCATACTTCTTGACACCAGACGTAGGCTGAACCAAGTGTTAGGATGTGCATTTTTTGAGGAATCAGGGGAATAGTTCTACATAAAACACTAATAATCATATAGACGGAAGAAATATACGGCAAACTTGAATAAAATTAAATCTAAACAAAGGTATGAAGACCAAGATGGTGTGGTCTTTTTTGTGGTCACAGTCTCCTTCCGTTGTAGAGAAGTTGTTTGACCTTGTTTTCGTAACTCGGTCATATTGGTAGTAAGACTTATAGGAACGCGCCTTGTCCTA